ATATATATATATATATATATATATATATATATATATATAATTATTATTATTATTATTATTATTATTATTATTACAAAATATTTCCTTTTACTATAGTATTTTAACTGTGTAACACCTGGTTTTATTGGATTTTTTGTTTTAGCTGTTATACTATAATGTGTTTCTGTTTAGTACAGCATAGGCTACTATTTACAGTAAATAACAACCTGAACTGAACTAATATGCCTCATATGTTTCATTGACAGTTTTATTGATCACTAAGATCTGATTGACTTGGATTTAAGTTGCTTCGATTTAAAAATAAAAATTGCAAAAATAGTTTGGATGTAGCTAAGCTACTTTTGCCTTGTAGCTTTTAGCTTAGCTTGCTACATTTCCCAGGGGTTAGCTTTTAGTGTAGTTAAGCTACATTTTAAGTAGAGTAGCTAATAGCTTAGCTCACTACATTTTTCAAGTAGCTTGCCCAACACTGCTTAATAATAAGACACATACAGTGGGAGGGCTCCATGATGAGTTTTATGCATTTCTGGGTTAACAAGAGTGGAGTTTATGATAAAATTGTTCAACCAATCTGAAATCACAGCCTACACAACAGCCAAATCCCACTTCATGTACCCTTTGAGAACTTACAATGTTTCTGTTTTAAATAATTATTTCACCCAAAAATGGAGATTGAATTATTAATTATCCTGATGTTGTCCCAAAACCAAGACACCGCGTCCAGAGACATTCAAAGCCCAGCAAATGAACCAAAAACTCTATCAGAACAGCTTCAGTGGTTCAACTGTAATCATAAGAAGCTCCAAAATACTTTTGTGCACCAAAAACTCAGTAAAAACAACTTTGTTTGCCTATCTTCTACGTCAGATCATACGTTTACTACAGGCAAGATGATACTTGAGTTGCGCTGCTGACTCTAATGGCAACATGTCATACTGCCTATAGTAAACATGTCTGACACCCAGTGTAAACATGCGCCAGAGAAGACAAAAGCCATATTTACAGTACTCATTTGGCACACAAAAGTGTTTATGGATGATTACAGTTGACCCACTAAAGATGTTTTGTCAATTTTGGTTCCTTTTCTGGACATTGAACATCAGAGGATGAAGGAGCTCTTAGATGTCATCTAAAATATCTTAATTTGTGTTCCACAGATAAATGAAAGTCTCAGGGGATTGAAACGACACGAGGGTGAGTAATTATTAACAGAATTACCATTTTTGGGATCAGTAAACCGTAGTTTATCATTTTAGTTTTCACAAGAGTGTTTGAGAGTGGCCTTACTTCCTGAACAGTAACAGCGAGGGTTTAGGGTCTCATTTGGTATTGGGCCAACACCAAACTCTTCTTCAGAATCCATGCCTTTGGGACTTTTTAGCACTTGTTTTCTCCTCGATCCATAAGACATGTGGTTTGGATGAATTGGATAAACTAAATTGGCTGTATGAATGCAAGAGCGTGTGGATGTTTTCCAGCACTGAGGATTATGCGGCAGCATGGTAATTTGCTGTGTAAAACAATTGCCAGAGAACTTGGTGCCTAATTTTGCTGTGGTGACCCCTGATAAATCAGGGAATGAGCTGAAGAAAAGTGAGTAAGTAATTCTGTTTTGACGTTAGTGTTAAAGTCAAAGAAGTACAGGATGAGTGCAGACTATGCCCCAAACACTGGGGTCTTCCTGACTTACAATGACCACTATTTGTGCCTATACTATACTATGTCTGTTAAGTCCACAAGAACATAGGGTGTCTATTAAACATTTTAGCATGAGTGCCCCATTTTAAGCCATAATGTGCCCTCGATGATCAGTTCCGACCAAGGAAGTGAGCTCCACAGCAGTCTTCAACCCTTCAAAGTGGCAATAGCCCCTTTCACACAGTGAAACCAGTAAATATCTGGAAAATTTCAAGAACGACTTTACTGGTAAATTTAAAAAAGCACAGGCGAGGACGTTACAGGATTTTCCCGGAAAAGACTATTTACACATCCATTCCAAAATACCGGTAAATTCTGACATCATTAACCAGAAATGAGCTTTAAACGGCTGTGCTTGTATTTGTAAACATTTGCCTACATCACAAACTCTGTGGATGGATAAGTATTGTGAACAACTTCGATGAAAACATATAGACAAACACTTTCCCATGTTGAGGTGTTCATAATATGTGTGTGTGCTGGTGCACAACTCCTTCAAGGGCACACGCGACACGTCAAGCAACTGAAGGAAGCAGAGCTTGAAGATTAACAAACAGCTTATCATAAACATAATATCGATAATTATTTACAAAGTTGGCATTAAGAAGGAACATATAAACAATTTCTGACTAACATTTAGCAGCTACATGTGTCAGGAAAAATATTGAGAGGCTTTTATTTTCATAAACCACGCGGACATGAATGCATCTGAGTCTTCTGATTGGCTAAAGCAGACGTCTTACGTCAGCATGTTCTAGACGTGCACGCGCTCTTTCCGGCAATCTTCTCTCTGCGTTCACACAGCGCAGCATTCCGGCAAATTACCGGTAATGTTACAACTTCTCTTTCCGAAAAATAGCCAGAACGAATTTACCAAGGAGAGTAACTGACCACTTAGCATGTTTCTCTCAAATATCTGCAAATACATTTGAAGTCAGAATTATTAGCCCCACTTTGAATTTGTTTTTCTTTTTTTAATATTCCCCAAATTATGCTTAACAGAGCAAGGAAATTTTCACAGTACGTCTGATAATATTTTGTCTTCTGGAGAAAGTCTTATTTGTTTTATTTCGGCTAGAATAAAAGCAGTTTTTATTTAAGAAATACAAAAAAATTAAGGTCAATATTATTAGCCCCTTTAAGCTAATTTTTTTTCGATAGTCTACAGAACAAACCATCATTATACAATAACTTGCCTAAATACCCTAACCTGCCTAGTTAACCTAATTAACCTAGTTAAGCCTTTAAATGTCACTTTAAGCTGTATAGAAGTGTCAAAAAGCCAAATATCAAATTCCCTGCTTCTTTCCTTGACATTTCACTGAAAAAAATCAGGCCGCTGTTGTGCTTTGAATGGTGAATTTCATTATGAATATGATAATTCACCAAGAAGATAGGCCTACTTACTGTTGACATGGCACCAGGTCTCTCATATTTGATAGTTATGCAAACTCTACATTTAGATTTTCCGCCACATACTATTTAAAACCCAATCTTTGATATGGTAATTTTGAAACAAAAACGTATATTATCCATGTATTTTAGCCTCAGTTAACAGGTACAGTCTGGTGACTGCAACAGTTGATGAACATGCAAAAAATAAAATGGGGCTGAAAGCATTTTGCAAATTAAAATATATTTAGAAAAAAAAAATTATATTTTAATAATTGGAAACTAAAATTTAAAGAAAAAAATCCCTGATATTCCTTGAGCAAAATTTTTTTTAAATAGTTTAATGTCTAGAAAAGACCTTCCCAAATCCCACGATATTCCAGATACCCTATGTCGTGTGGGAACCCTGAGTACATAAAATTAAAAGTTGTGAAAATAAGAATTTACAGAAATGCCATTTAGGAGACAGTAAACATTTTTTAAACAAACCCTTTTTTCCTCAAAAATCTAAAGCCCCCTGTTCTACTCCAAGGAGCTGTAGATATCAACCCTTTTTTCCAAGGAAGCAAGGATAATCTCTAAATGTATTCAAGACTTTGATGAGAACATAATAAAGCTCTGTGTTTTTTGAGAATTGACCTGGTTCACAGTCCTGCTGAGACTTTCGAAACACTCCTGGTCAAATGTCAGATATCAATGGAAAAGCCTCCATGGCAGAACAGTGTGAGACCTCCACCATACTCTAAAGCCTTAAGCAGATGAATAACAGATGAAACAAATGGAATACTTTTATGTGCTGGTTTCTAATGGGTTCCAGGTTGGTTCCAGATGAGGGGAAAGAGATAAAAACACAACCAAGCATAGGCTTATCTGTAGTACAGTGCATGAGGACAGACTTTCTCTCGACTTGATATCCAGTTTTACTGTTTTAAATGGACTCCCTTTAATAGGTTTACTCACTGTAACCCATTTACTTAATGAACTTAATATGAGAATGAACAAACGTTCGTTATATATGCAATACCGCCTGCGTTGACTGCGCTAATGTGATGTTAAACGGCCCATTGCATCAACAACATATCAAGTCACAGAAAACAAATCTGAGCAATGGTGCAATGTCCTCTAATCCTCCAGAAACAAACGGCTTACCTTGTGCCTTTATCTCCCATCGCGAGGATATGAGTGCGACACGGTTCACGCAAAACTCTTCTGCTGGAGGGAAGGGTTGCCGAGTAGAAAAAGAAGAAGCAAGAGGCAAAGCAGAAGGATGATGAGAAGGACTGGAAGAAAGGGAATTTACTATGCTGCGTTAGAAAGCCGCTGTCACTTAAGCGGCTCTCCTTGCGGTTTGAGCGCTTTCCAGATGAATCCAATTACAGGAGCATCTCCACTGCCGCCTGCCAACAGACAAACCCCGCCACTGCTACTGAGAGAAAGACAACACGCGAGAGCTGATGATTCCTTCTGCTTTAAGAGTCCTTCATGTGGGAATGTTGGAAAAACAAACGCTGTTTGGAAAATCCTGAAGCTTTTGAAGCGTCCGTTTGATATCCACACCGTCTCCGTCTTCAAGAGCTTCGCCCTCCCTTCCTCTCCCTCTCTCGCTAATTTATACTCTCTCTCCTCCTCCTCCTCGGTGCATGTGTGAGGGCATGTATATGCTCTGTCTCTCTTTCCTCCTCCTCTTTGGATGTGTGAGGGTATGTATGTGGTGAGGAGAGGTGAGTGGGTGATAATATTCTCCAGATTTTCTCAGCTCGCCATCATTGAGGCTGTGAGAGGAGCGCGCGCGCACTGTGGCCGCAGATGAGGCATTATTTACATCCTAACACGGAGATCATTTTAAGTGCCGTCACATTTCAGTTACAAATTCCCACAGCAATAAATCAATACCGGCCGAAATAAAGCATATCAATCAGTTATCGCGTGGGTGGGCTGTGTGCTTTTAATTAAACTAGCATCGCTAATGTTTTTTTTTTTTATCAGTTCAAATGTGTAAAATAAATGCGACACTGTAAATGAAGAGTTAAAATTAACGCCATGATGCGTAATGGTGCTGAAATATAAACATAATATAGCTAACAATGAACATTCGTAAATAGATTTGACCATTTTTTAAATTCCATTTTATTTAATTCCATAGACCATTATATATGAATTCTAAAATCATGTATTATAAACAGGACACACTTTTAGTGCACAAATCGCTTACTATAATTTACCCAGAAAGACTGTATGTAGTGTCAAAAAGTATCAATAGTTAGTATCAAAAAGTAGCATGTATAAGGCATTTTCTTTAACAGTAGCATAAAACAAAGACAGGTAAAAAACAATATGAACTAAAAAAAAAAAAACATTTACAAAAATAACTGTTGCAAACAAACATTCAGCAGTTCCCTTGATACTTGTGCTAGTTTGAAAACAATCCACATTTAGAAAGGTCACGTTTACTGCAGTAACATCATTAAAAAATATTCTTTTTTACATTTATTTAGATCAGCTGCTAAAAGTATAATGCCAAAAGCATCTGTTATTTATTATCTGTTAGTTATTTTAAGTGAACCAAAATGTCTAATAGAAGTTTATTATTGTCAACAGATCACTTCTGTCTGGTTTAATCAGTTTTGAAAATCAGTTTTATTCACTAATTTCATTTCAAGTTTGCAATAAGATTGTGGAAAACATGCCAAGATCATATTTAATATTAAGTATTAATATTTATATATTTACTTTGTAAATTACAAAACGTAATAATGGAATAGAAGTTTGCTCACTTTTTCTTCTTAATTAATTAATTTTTTCTTCAGCTTTGTCCCTTATTCATCGGGGATCACCACAGCAGAATTACTTGCCAACTTATCCAGCATAGTTTACCCAGTGGATGCCTTTCCAGTCGCAACCCAGTACTGGGAAACACCCATACTGACATTTCTTCTGATTTTTAAAAAATCAATTACAAAGGGTGATTGCAAATGCTGTGACACCAGTGTAAAATATGGTGAGATGCAAAGCTAGATTATTTTTATTTACATTTTGTTTTAGAGTTCACTCATTCATTAGTAAAAAAAAATATGATTTGGTGCAAAAAATGTTCAGAAAAATAAGTTAAATTAATTATATACAGTTCAAGTCAGAATTATTAGCCCCCCCTGTTAATTTCCCCCCCCAATTTCTGTTTAACGAAGAGAGGATTTTTTTCGATACATTTCTAAACATAATAGTTTTAATAACTCATCTCTAATAACTGATTTATTTTATCTTTGCCATGATGACAGTATCAAATGTTTTGACTGCATTTAAAAGCTTGACCACTTATTAGCTAAACTGTGATAAAGCATATAAAACAACCCTATAATTAACCCTCTACTGCATGCATTATGATAGATCTATAAAAAAAAATTCTATATCTTTTTCTTGAAATGACTGAAGTGCTGTAAAAAAAAAAAAAAAAAAAAGTGGGAAAAAAAATCTTTTTTTTGGTATAAGAAATGTCCAACAGTGAATCTAACTTATACATTTCTAATTTAGAATTTTCCTTATAATTAATAATTATGTTGTTTGTTTTGATTTAATTGGTGTTGCAGTATTATAAGCTTTAACACAGAACTTATAAATGACAGCTTATTCATACTTTCCAAAAACTCATATTCCAACAGCTTTCATTTATTCCATTCTTTTTTGCTGAATATTACTGAAAACAAACATAATATTGTATTATCATGTACAACATACAGTAAATGTAACTATTTTCTCCAGTACATATTATAACAAATAGATAACAAGTCTAGTATATCCAGATGCATCAGAATAATGTAGCTAACAATGTTTATATATTATACTATATACTATACTATGTGTGTCTTATCTGCCTCTGAGCTAACTGACCTGAGCTGTCTCCATCGCTGCTCTTATCAAATGTGTAATCTGCATCATTCTCATGGTCTCTAAACTCATCTCATCCTCATTGCAGGAAGAGCCAGTTCTGTCCTTTTCTTCCTTCACTTACCATGGGACATGGTGGTGCTCGCTAATACACTGTTCCCTGTATTGATATCTATTCAAAAGTAGTATTGCCATTAAAACTAGATTTTATCCATCATGCTAATGCTATTAACATATGACTAATCAACATTATTCTACTAGCGTTCATGTTGCTATATTTACAACCTCAAAGTTCACAGCTGATCTTGCTAGCTAGCTAACCCATTGCGATATTGCATGTTCCACTATTGCACAGTGTTGCCATTTGGTAACACACATTTGATCTATTTACACAAAACTAATTTGATTTTAAAAAAAAATTCACCTTCCAGAAGCATTCCACTCTGCCATCTTTTTTGATAGTACATAATGAAATTCTGATGTATTTTAAATCACTTTCAGTAAGATTTACAACTATATCATGACACAATTATTCAAAGAATTTCAAGAAAGACAACGCTGCGCTAAATCTTATTTACTCGCTCTTTACTTCATCTAAACAACAGGCTTTATAATCAAACTCCCTTTGTAGTTTGAGTTAGTATAATGCATTTTCTTTAACAGTTGCATAAAACAAAGACGGGAAAAAAAAACAATATGAACTATAAAAAAACATTTACAAAAACAACTGTGTTGCAAACAAACATTCAGCAGTTCCCTTGATACTTGTGCTAGTTTGAAAACCATCCACATTTAGAAAGGTCAGGTTTACTGCAGTAACATCATTAAAAAATATTCTTTTTTACATTTATTTAGATCAGTTGCTCCAAGTATAATGCCAAAAGCATCTGTTTTAGTTATTCTAAGTGAACCAAAATGTCTAATAGAAGTTTATTCTTGTCAACAGATCACTTCTGTCTGGTTTAATCAGTTTTGAAAATCAGTTTTATTCACTAATTCCATTTCAAGTTGGCAATAAAATATAAGTATTAATATTTATATATTTACTTTGTAAGTTACAAGACGTGATAATAGAATAGAATGTCTTTAATTAATATGTTAACCTTCAAAATAAAAATTTTATTTCTAAATAAATTTACCCAAAACAAATGAATTAAAAATGGAATGAAAATGTTTTATGTTTTTATGGATGTATTTGTATTATGTCTTTTGACAAATCGTGGCATGAAGTTTGCTCACTTTTTTCCTTAATTCATTCATTTTTCTTCAGCTTTTTCCCTTATTCATCAGGGGTCACCACAGCAGAATTACTTGCCAACTTATGCAGCTTACGTTTTACCCAGTGGATGCCTTTCCACCTGCAACCCTGTACTGGGAAACACCCATTCTGACATTTCTTCAGATTTTTTAAAAAGAATTTAGAAAGGGTGAATGCAAATGCTGTGACACCATTGTAAAATATGATGGGATGCAAAGCTTATTTTTATTTAAATTTTTTTTTAGAATTTACTCATTAGTAGAAAAAAAAAGGTTTGGTGCAAAAATTGTTCAGAAAAATAAGTTAAATTAATTATACACAGTTAAAGTCAGAATTATTAGCACTTTTTTTTCCCAATTTCTGTTTAACGGAGAGATTTATTCAACAAATTTCTAAACATAATAGACTTTCTCCTTATAAACATAAGACTTTCTCCAGAAGAAGTGAAGTTTATTTATAAACTAATATAGAGATGATCACGTGCTTATGATTGCTTGCGACTGGTCCTTCATTTTTTTTAATTTATGATTCACCAATCAGATGATTCCTAAGTCACTATAAATACCCTAAGTTCCATATAACAGCCATCTTCCTTTTGAGGAATCCCTTCTTCCACCCCTACTCCACATCCTTTCCTAGATGGTTAGCACTGTTGCCTCTCAGCAAGAACGTCACTGGTTCTAGTCCGTACCAGGCCAGTCGACGTTTCTGTGAGGAGTTTACACGTTCTTCCTGTGCTCTTGTGGGTTTTCTCCGGGTTCCCCGGTTTCCTCCCACCATCCAAAAACATCCAATATAAGTTAATTGGCTAATCTAAATCGGCACTATAAACATGCTGCTAGTAAGTATTCATCTCTTTAGAGCAATCACTATGTGTTCATTAGCCACTACAGCAGGGAAGTTCTCGAGATCTAACTGAGCTCAAACTCCCCACTAGCCATGCAAACGGGAGGGAGCCCCGGGCCCGAGGTACTTATGAGCTCAGGGTTCTCTCCCGGGACAGCATGCCAAACAAGCTTTATAATCAATCATCAGCATGAACGCTTGAAAAAATACTATCAGACACACTGAAAATTTCCTTGCTCTGTTCAACATCGTTTGGGAAATATTTAAAAAAATATTTTTAAAAAAAAAATCAAAGGGGGGCTAATAATTCTGACTTCAAGTGTATATAGTTATAGTAATTATCTGGGTCCAAAAGAAGCCAGCACACAAAAACAGTTCTTTAAAATAGAATCTTGACGTCTCATACAAAAAAAAAGTGTAATAAAATATTACTTGTCACCTTAGAATTATAAGGTTCTATCTGACATTTTTGTCAAAATTGAGTTATGGACATATTCTTAATAAATAACAACTTTTTTACATTATTTGATGTTTTTTATCATAGATATATACACTAGATATCGCATAGAGACCCTGAGCATGCGTCAATAGCGCCGCCACATTGGTACAGTGCTCCCAGGACAAACGTCATAGACAAACGTCATAGCGCCGCACTAGTCAAGACAGTGTTATTGCGTGAAGATGCGGGACTTTAGCGCTGTGTACGGGTGTAGTAACGAGCAAACAAAGAAAACAAAGCACAAAGGCAAAACATTTCATAGGTAAGTTTTTTAAGTTTTTATACAGTTGAAGTCAGAATTATTAGCCCCCTTGTGATTTTTATTTTCTTTTTGAAATATTTCCCAAATGATTTTTAACATAGCAATGAAATTTTCACAGTATGTCTGATAATATTTTTTCTTCTGGAGAAGATCTTATTCGTTTTATTTTGGCTAGAATAAAAGCAGTAATTAATTTTTTAAAATCCATTTTTGGGACAAAATTATTAGCCCCTTTAAGCAATTTTTTTTTTTCGATAATCTACAGAACAAACCATTGTTATACAATCACTTGTCTAATTACCCTAACCTGCCTAGTTCACCTTATTAACCTAGTTAAGCCTTTTAATGTCACTTTAAGCTGTATAGAAGTGTCTTGAAAAATATCTAGTAAAATATTATTTACTGTCATCATGAAAAAGATAAAATAAATCAGTTATTAGAAATAAGTTTTTAAAACTATTATGCTTAGAAATGTGCTGAAACAATCTTCCCAGAACAGAACAGAAATTGGGGAAAAAAATAAACAGGGGCGCTAATAATTCAGGGGGCTAATAATTCTGACTTCAACTGTATGTTCTGAAATTTTGTGCTAATCAGGTAGCGTTATTGATGATAATACAGTCACTTACTGCATTCACCATAAGGCAAAGTAGCTCCAACTTGCACTAAATACTCGGCTTATGCTAGTTTTGTTGAATAAAATCAGCAAACAATGCAAAAGAAATATGACAACGAGATGCTGCGCTGCCAGAAACTTGTATTATTGTCGGCTCAGTGAGCGAGTCGTTCATAACGGAGATTCATTCACAAAAGAATCGTTCCCTCCGTCAGTATGAGAAGTGAAAGCAGGAGAGGAGCTATGTTTCAGGACACGGATTAGATCAAATTAAACAGGGAGGGTGGATAGTACACTTCCATACACACAAAAACAAGGTTTTTGTCAGGAATGTCAATGCGATCGCTGATCAATCAAAGTAGAAAAGTGATGTAAAATTATAATTTTCGTAATTAAAAAAAAAAATTGCATACTAACATCCAGGAAAACTCCCGATTATACATATATGTGTATATGTGTATATCTCTGGCTTTGGATGGCCACAGTCCTTAACTGTACCTTGGTCCCACATTCATTTCAAAGGAGCGCTACCCTGTTCCAAAATGGCGGCTCTATTGACGCATTCCGTCCAATAGACAACAATAGGCCAGGCGACATCTAGTGTATATATCTATGGTTTTTTATAAGTTGTTTACATTTTAAGACTTTTTATCTAAACAACAAATGTTACACATACTGCTTGCTATGAAATGCGAAAAATTTAAAGCTCTCAAAATTATTCAAAACACAGATACAACCTTAAAATTCCAAGGTGACGTATTGTTTATCATCATCATCATTATTATTATTAATGAATAAATTAGTTGATTAAATTCTGGGAGAAAATAGGATCTGGGCACGTTCTTACTCTTCTAATCAATGATTTTGTATGGCATATAATTAATCATTGCAACTATCACATACGTCAGCTTTAGGTTAACAAATATTCCAAATTGAACCTTACTGGTTCAACATCTGACAAGTATAAGACAGACATTAGACTTTCCTCTGTAATTAACATGCAAATGAATGCAGCAGATGGAATCATGTGTCACAGTGTATTTTAATGTGTGTGTGTGTGTGTGTGTGTGTGTGTTCTGCTGGATTTGTGTATCTCTGATGGCAGTGATTTGGGTGTTCAGAGTCAGTCGGAGCGGTGCGGTGTGTGATCCTCTTTTAAATGCTAATCTGAGTGCAGCGTAGCAGAGAGCATACTGGGTCTCTATGGCAGCGCTAAGAGTGTGGCGGCGAGCAAGACCTCCTCTCATTCATTTTTAAAACACGAGTCCCTTTTTTATAATAAATTAGCACTGTCGATCCAGTAGAACAGAGCACTTCCCTGGGGGAGTGATTAACAACGTACAGCAGGGTCTAAATGTTAGACACCACCAGTGAAATCGCTTCAGTTTTATACTTGATAAATAGATTTATTGTTTAAACTATTTTTTTTTTCGTCAGAGAAACGAGAGGGTGGAAGCTAAACATCTCTTTTAGTGTGTTTAGTCGCTCACTGTCACTCTCTGATTGGTGGAATATTCCGTACAGCATCATGGGTAATGTAGTTTTTATGTACTTATCCCGAGGTAAAACTTTAAAGTTGAATTAGTGTTATTTGATGGTTCAATAAAAGCTCATGAGATCAATTAGCAATATCCGGGTTTCAATCACCCTGTCTTAATGCACAATTTAAGTTTTGCATGAGAATTAAGTGATAAAAACACAGAGCAAAACTACATTATCCCCATCTGACCAATCAGCTGTCTTCATTATACTAGGCTTGTTTACTGTTGGTTACTGCCAGTTAAATGTGACCCAATTCTGATTTTTTGCTCATATGTGACACAGATCGGATCTGTTTTATGACTGTGTAAACACGATAAAAACACATGCATTCGGATATTCAGAGATCGGTTTCAGGCCTCCTTCATATGTGGAAATAAATCAGATAGAAGTCGGATATGTGACAATAGGTGAGTTCAACTTCATGCAGATTGATCGAAATCTGTCTTAAAGCGGTGCATGCCGATCAGAAATGTTGTCTGGATTGACGCTGCGCAGATGACACGTGACTGCCACATGAGGCACCGCGACATTGCTCCGTACTTCAGATGCACTTCAGCATCTGAAGTATGACTGCTGGAGCTGCGATGACGACACTGATATTACACGATTGGCCGAGCTCACTGCATGACAACAGCCTCGGTGTTTCGGGTTTATTATTAGACAAATTCCAATTCACAAATTTCATTCATTCATTCATTTTCCTGTCGGCTTAGTCCCTTTATTAATCCGGGATCGCCACAGTGGAATGAACCGCCAACTTATCCAGCAGCGGATGCCCTTCCAGCCGCAACCCATCTCTGGGAAACATCCTCACACACATTCACATACACACTCATACACTACAGACAATTTAGCCTACCCAATTCACCTGTACCGCATGTCTTTGGACTGTGGGGGAAACCGGAGCACCCGGAAACCACGCAAACGCAGGGAGAACATGCAAACTCCACACAGAAACGCCAACTGAGCCGAGAATCGAACCAGCGACCTTCTTGCTGTGAGGCGACAGCACTACCTACTGCGCCACTGCGTCGCCTCACAAATTTCAAAACAAACAATTTACTTTTCATACCCTCTCTAACTTGTACACATCACGCTTATTAAAAGACTACAAATATTCTACCGCGGTCTCTTTTGTTAATAAGTTTACATTCAGCTCCATGAACGATTTAAACAATATATTTTAGTGAATAACCTAAATATTAACTCAAATAAGTCTTACAGACTTGTAATAAAATAATTAACATCATTGATCCTGCCACCCTAAAGGTTTCTTAACAGACTAAGTTAAATAACTCTATAATCAAATAATTATAAAATGATTTATACGATTATAAAATATATCTATATTTCCTGTCAGGCCATTTATGCGCACATTGATGTACTCTTTCTGGGAAACATCTGCTTAAAGTGTTGCTCAATTATTTTAGGAATGTCCTTTTGTTCAATCTTTTTGCATTAAAGTGCTTTCATTATCCAAAATAATCGTAATCATTCTTTAAGACTTAATCAAAACATAAATATTGGAAAGTTTTGTATAAATGTAAACCCCTTTTTAGCATATTCAAACAAGAAGTATTAGCCTAAAGAGAGATGTTTAAACATCTAAATGCTTTTTGCTTTGTATTTTATAGGCCTTTTCATTTTTGTTTATGTTTACCCTCTCGTTTCCCCTTATTTCTCTCATGCGCTTGTTATATATTTAATTCATAATTCCCTTGCTGTTTGAAAATGAACTATAGTTTGTAGAGAATGTACAAGCACCCGGAGGAAACCCACGCAAAGGCAGGGAGAACATGCAAACTCCACACAGAAACGCCAACTGAGCCGAAGTTCGCACCAGCAACCCAGCGACCTTCTTGCTGTGAGGCGATAGCACTACCCACTGCGCCACTGCCTCGCCACTGCGTAAAACATGTGCTGGATAAGTTGGCGGTTCATTCCACTGTGGCGACCACAGAATAATAAAGGGACTAAGCTGAAAAGAAAATGATTTAAATAATGTTTACCAATATCTTTTTTTTGCTGTACCCATTTACCGTGTCCATGCTGAATGTAAATAAAATAATAATAATAATAATAAATGTTCTGACCCCAAAGTTTGGAATGGTGGTGTGTATATTTATATATTTCTATCTAAAATATTCATCACGTTTGTACTGCATTCGAGATTCAATGTCATTGTGCGACAACATACAATGGGCTCTGGTCAAGCATTCAAAACGATGTGTCTGCTCTCTATTTTGGTCTCTAAAAATAGGTCTGACATGTGAACATGCTGGGGCTGAGTTTCCATGTATTCACAAATGTGTTGTGGTGTATTTTTTTTAAATACACTGCTCCCGTTTTGTCCACGTTTCCCTTTGATATCAAATCCCAGAGGCAGAAATATCTGGTGTGCGTCAAGCGACCTCAGATCTCCACGTTTGCTGACAATTATAGCAAGTCATCAAGAGGCAGGAAAGCCTACAAATGCTTCGCCACGTTCTGCATCAGTAATTCATTTGTAACAAGGTTTCAAAACAAAACCCAGCCAGCTCTGCTCGACAGTCGCCAGACCCCTGTATCATCAGAGCATGTGTTTGGGCTTTTGAATGACACGGCTTCTTAGCAACAACGACCATCACAACACTACGGCTCTTACTAATGACGGAGTGCAGAGCGTGAGCTTTCCCCAACATGGCTGTGTTTTGATGACATCCCAGAGAGTGCATCTGCAGACTTCGTGATAGGATGAAGGCAGCTGGTGTCTGCTCTCAGATATCACTCCACAGCACGGCTCGACGGCTCTTGTCCACGCTTACCACATATTCACCTGATAAAGACCAGGCCAAGGCACTTATCGGAGCACTGCAAACAGAATTAGGATGCAAAGATAAAGAGATGATGAGAATTTACATACAATTTAACCATGATGATACATTTTGTGTTGACTATGCCTTCTTTGAGTTACTTACTACATACCAATGGCAAGCCAATTAATCTGTGGTGTGTTTCCAGTGCAACAACTTCTTTATATATAGTGCAAATTATCGGGAAAATCTACTCTAGCAAACTAGAAATAAGTTTCTATTGGGATGTTTGGATTTCACCCACAAAAACTCAACAAGAAACAACACTAAAAGATTAATTCAGTTCCAGAATGAAAATGTCCAAATAATTGGCTCTCCCCATTGTCACTCAGGGGGCTCTATTTTGACGGTCCATGCGCAGAGCGCAAAACGCAGGGCGCAAACGCCTTCAGGGTGTGTCAGAGCGCATTTTTGCTAATTTACGCATGGGAAAATGCGCTTTGTGCCAAGGCGCATGAGCTAAAAGGGTTGAGTTTGTTTTCTTAATGAGTTATAGGTGTGTTTTGAGAATAAACCAATTAGAGTCTCATCTCCTATTCCCTTTAAGACCCAGCTGCGTCGCGCCAAGAGCGCATTCGCTATTTACAGAACGCAAAGTAAGTCTAATGGGAAAAAATGAGCATTTCACAAGCAAACAGTTCACAGTTTTTTAACAGAAAACAGTTAAACAGAGCATCTACTGCGTGAGAATGAGAGATAATGGATCTACTTTCACTTTCGCTCTTGGATAGGGAAACCTTTACGCACAGACATCAATTAGCCTATAAATAATTAATTTTGTTTGTTAAGCGCAAAGATTTGTTTAAAAACTATTTCTAAATTCAGTTCTAATTTCCAGCAAACGAATAAATGAATAATAATAACCAAGTGTGCTCAAAATACTGAGTTATTTCCAAATACACCTGCCATGCCCCATATGGTCTAAAACCTGACAGGTGGGCAAATCTAAGCTTGTTTTTAATAAAACAAATATAAATATAATACTGCAAATAATAACATACAAAAGCAAGTTGTCATGAATAAACTGAAAAAGGCCCCGACATGAAGAAGGCTTGGAAGCAGTGGTTTTTATATTTATGTAGAAAATAATAATTTTAGTAATATTTTATTCCTTTAATTCTTTTTAATTTGTAAGGATATTTGCGTATTGCTGTACATCCTGTGTGTTTTAAACAAAGTGTAAGCGAGGCGAACAACTAACACGCTTTGCGCTGGAATTTGCGCCAACAATGCACCTTAACACACCTCTTTTCTAGATCGAAACACCCATGAGTCCACAAAGTGGAGCAAATGGATTTGCTATTTAAGCAACGAGGCGGAAAACAGGAAAACTAAGGTTGCATCCCTAGTAGCAAAGAATTCTGGCCCAGATTTGGCATAAAGCTGGCACAGCAGGCATTCATCCGGCACTGGCATACAGCATGTGGGCCAAACATGGCCCAGGTTTGGCAGAGGTGGCACCGTCTTTAAGGCGGCACACAAGATTTGGGCCAGATGAAACACTTAGTATTTGGCCCAGATTTAAAAATTTGATAAGTGGGCCATGTGAGTTTGGCCAGTCTTGACCCACATTTAAAATACACTAAAATCCTTTTTGAGTAAAGAAAAAAAATTCTACCAATCAGGTCACTCTGCGAAAAAGCGTGCCCATAGTGTGCCTAAAGCGCATCACTCCATGGGTTTATCAATTTCATTGCAATCGTGACACACCAACCTATCTGGCCCAGTTCAGGCCCAGTTATGAGTTATTAACTTGGCTGAGACTTGGCACAGATATGGTCCGTGTTTGGCTCTTGTCTGGAAGCCAGATTTGATCCAGCCATGTACCGTAATGCACTGCGGCATGTGGGCCAAGCAAAACCTGATTGTGTGGGCCAGAGCTGGGCCAAAGAAATTTTGCTATGTGGGATTGGTCTAAAAAATAAGAAACACATCCCCAAACACGTCTTGCGCCTTATTGCGGCAGGTGTATGATAGGGCGCTGCATGTCTCAGCTTGCATATGTCTGCAGTTAGATACTATTGCAGCTGTGGGCACCTGAGAGTGCTTTTGCAGTGCTGCATTTAACTAAAAAAACAAAGCACCTAGCACTCAGCACTTCATGGGAAACATATGCTCCACGCTCCGTGGTCCCCTGTCCTCGGTCAGCGCCCTAAGGCGGGTAAGGGAGAAAGGCAGAGTTTCTAAGCACAACCAAAAATTATTCACTGTTTAAACTCATTGTGGCCTTTTAGGCCGTATTCACACTATGTACAGTTACCTCGAACCAGTCCCCCCTCCCGTCTCCCCCAACGGCCCGCACTCACACTACATTCGGGCCTGGGCACGCTTACGTCATCGATGCTGCGCTGTTCAGTGAGCGCTCTAGTGTCACATCTGTCAGTGACCACCTGAGGGCGCTGTAGTTCAATGGACACTGAGTGGAACTACAGCGCCCATAAAGACTACATTTCCATACATTCTTTCGCGCACACACCCGGTCTGTCATCTACACTGATTTACAACCACAGCTGTCTCCATTGTCCGTGATTACCAGGACTATATATTCAGTCATTCAACCACTGTGTCATCGCGTCGTTTGTCTTTCTTGTACCCAGTAAGTCAGTTTTTCCTAGTTGTTGTTCCTGATCTTGCAGGGTTCAACGCTAAGGATTTTTTGTACTGGTCCGATCGGGCAAGTGGTTCAGATTTTTACTTGCCCCACCAAAAAAAAGGGAAGTTAATAGCTATTTTTTAGCCGCATATTTTAAATAATGTGTCAAAAATAAAGTCTGCGAATCTAGAATTTCAATACTTAAAAAACTGTTAATAAAAGTGTTATGCAAACAAAAAGAGCAGTATAGAAAATGTGGAGGTATTTTATTGCGGTTCGAAATTATTTAACAAAAAGTGGGTGACTTGTCAAACTGACGGCAAACTTTGCAAAGCATCACTTAATTTTTTTTGTTGCGATGTTCACACATAAATGTCTGCTTCCAAGACGTTATAGAAACAGACATTTTCTTTTAGCCTTATAATTTGATGTTGCTGTTTCTTCGCTGTACTGGTTGTTACCAGGTTACTAAAAAAATCCACATGCTCATAACATCAAATCAGAGAAGAGGAACTAGAAAGCAATATGGTGTTTACGACATCACAGAGAAGATAACATTTAAAGACTTAAAAGCACAAACTTAAAAAGCACGCAATTAACAAATAGTCGCAGACAAATTAAATGTTAGTGACAAGGCAGCACTGTCCCAATCGGGCCAGTATTGATCCTGTCTACTGTCCCAAGCGTCTCTCACGCTGGCCCTGGGCCACCGGGCAGTCCTTATTGTTGAGCCCTGTCTTGCCTCGTATCCTGCTATAGTCTAGTTCATGTTTATCTGTCTTAGTTTCTTGTTTTGTTGTTTATTTGTTACTTTGCACTTTGATATTTTTGGATTTTTGTTCACTGTTTTTGCACTTTATAATACTAAAATCTGCACTTGAATCCGCTATCTTTTGTTCCCGTTTTTGTTATTGTTTTGATCCCGCCTAACGTGACATCTAGCTCAGCACAGAGGAGATTTCTCTAGTTATATCGTTTCAGTCGTTTGACATGCAGTCAAATATTTCGCCAAACAGTATTTAGGGATGCGGTGACACGCAGTCAGATATTTCGCCGAACAGATCCGCCACTTTTGGCGCTCATAAATAATCATAAAGCCCTCGTGCTGCAGGAATGAGGAGGTATGCTGAATGTGAGCAGCTGTCGTGCCTTGAGATGTTTGCGTCTTTGATAAACTACGGCAGTTTGATTAATAAATCCATATGAAACAGCCCCTTTCGGGCCAAGTAAACTGCGCTCAGGCACACCTTTTCCAAGCGGGCCAGGGCCGGCCAAGTAAACCATGCCTGAGTCCGATTCAGCGCACTAACACTTCTCAAACGATCAGGGAAACGGGTCTGGGCACGGTTCGGATAGTATAGTGTGAGTAGGCCCTTACACTATTCCTTTATGAGCCCCAAGTTAAAGAACAAAGGGGCTCTATTATAACAATTTTGCCTTTAGGGGATGACCTAATCCACATGATCCAAATGGTCTACTTCAGGGACGGGCTACTTCAGTCACTGTCCTGCTGAGTTTTGCTCCAACACTAATCAAACAAACCTGAATAAGCTAATCAGTGACTTCAAGATCACTAGAAAGCAACAGGAAGGTGTGTTTGATAAGGGTTGAGGATGAAATTTACAGGATATTGGCTCTCCAAGACCCAAGTTGTCCATCCCTGGCCTACTTTCTTCTCTTAATGTGTTACGAGTGTGTTTTGTGCATAACATGCATTAAAACAATCCGAGTCTCGGCTCCCATTCCTTTTAAGAGCGAGTTGTGGTCACACCACTCAGCATTTACTATTTACACGATGGACCTTGTAAGTGGAAAAAAATAAACCCTTTACTAGCAAGGAAATGGATCTGCTCACGTGCAAGGTTAAAGTGCATGAGGAGACCATCTGTGGAAAGAGCTGTATTCCACCAAAGCCCCCTGAGGTAGAGAAGGCGTGAGAGGAGGTAGCAGTTTTTATATATGTAAACAATTTAACATTTTAATCCTTTAATTTTTTATATTTAAAGATGTTTCTGTGCTGCTGTGGATCCCTGTGTGTCTAATTAGCAACATGTATGCATGTTGTGAACCCTAGAGGTGCGTATCACTAACACACACACACACACACACACACACAAAACAAATGCGCCATTGACTTTAGACCAGCTTTAATTGGTCAATAGTGCAGTCTATTTCAGTTGCCTCAATATAGCAAAGTGCCTTAATCAAGTGTTCTTTTCACACCAGCACAACCATGGGTGAACAAAAAAGGTGCAAATGAATATGATTCCGACGCCAGGCTGAAACTAACAAAAACAAATCGTGTCTGACATTACACTTACATTGTGTCAGCATTGCACTGGGTGAATAATAGGATACAAGCTGTTAAGATGACACCCCAGAAGATGGGTCAAGTAATTGTTTTA